GATCTCGAAATGTTCTCTCGGGGATGCAACGCACGGCTCGAAGTTTTTGGTATCCTATGACGCGATGTGAACTCGTGATAAATCGCGTCCCACACTTTGAATTTGTATTCCTGTTGGAGGATCGGCGCGCACCATCTGGCGGCCGTGTTTAATAAAATACTTGGCGCGGATGAATGGTCGTGCTCTTGGGACTTTCTCGGGGTCCGGGAGGACCTGGATCGGTAAAAAAAAAAAAAAAAAAGGAAAAAAAATATATACATATATACGTGTATATGTATATATATTTCGCCCGAGGTTGTGGAACTATGTAAATCGCATTAATCCCCCGGCCTCGCGTGATTAATGTTACACAGGGGGGTTACGCGCAGTTGATAACGAGATTTTAGTGGTTTCGAGTTTTGACCGAGGGTTTTTGCTTGATTAAAGAATAATTGTTCCCCCCCCCCCAGTTTTTGACAGAGAATGATTCCAAAGCTGCGGTTTATGAACTGTTCGAGGGACGAAAGAATCGACTGTTCTAATTATTTTTTTTTTTTCTTCTTTTTCTTCTCGAAACACAGTCGTTCGTTTCGAAAATTAATAAAAAAATATTATAATCGGTTAACCGATGGTCGATCATCCGCGAGATGAAAACCGCTTATTCGAAAGAATTTCTCCCCCAATTCGATTCGGATAATCGACTGATAGTAATAATAATAATAACAACAATAATAATCTTTCCATCTTCGTGTTTGTCGCAAGGATTAAAGCAAGGATTCGATCTATTCGCGGAAATAATGATTGCAAAACGATCGACGATGAACCAAGGTTTTACACGTGGTGGCCAATATCGTGCTCTTGGAGGAAGGAGATCGACGAGAAATCTCGAATCGTTGAAAGGAAGAGCCAATAATACCGCGATATCGAATCGGAACGAGATCGATGAAGATCTCCTCCGTTCTCCTCTCCGTTATTTATTAACTCGGTTTATATCCGTATTACCAAGATATCCGGCCAATAAGATTCTCGAAAGAATTACGAGTGGAACAGAGTAAGCTAAGGGTATAAGGAAGCTGTACCGATCGGGAGAATATCACCGACTTCGTTCAAACGGATTAAGTAAAGAACCAGAACGGTCCAACGATAATCCCACCTACCTATCTACTTACGAGGATGTTCAACCCTTAATTTCGAGGCTCGAGAGGCAACGAGAAACCGCAATTGTGAAACAAATTGCATATCGATACAGTTCGATCGTTTCGAAATTTTGCGAAACAATTGCCAATTTATAATCGTTGTCTCGAAGAATTGAGATATATAGAGTGTTAATCGAGAAATTAATTTGATACAATTCGATCGTTTCGAAATTTTGCCAATTTATAATCGTTGTCTCGAAGAATTATATATAGAGTGTTAATAAAGAAATTTCATACAATTCGATCGTTTCGAAATTTTGCGAAACA